TTGGTTAGTTCAGGAAACAATAGGTTCTGTTGCCTGTCGAAACAGCTGACTGACTGGTAGTGTGGTTAATAGCACTGAACTCTTGTCTTGCTCGTATTATCAATCACTAGTCGGTCTTACCCAGGTGGGGGTGGCCTAGTGGTTAAAGCGTTCGCTCGTCGTGACCAAGACCCCGGTTCGATTCCCCACACGGGTACTATGTGTGTAGCCTATTTGTGTCCACCGCCATGGTATTGTTGGAACATTGCTAAACGCTGTAAAACAAGACTCAATCACCTGCTCAGTCACTCTTACTCTGACTATTTACTGTCGTGTTATAGCTAGAGTGAGTGAGTGGGTGTCCACTATGCCACGATGGCCACGATTCGGATTTTTTTTAAATCGCAACTCATCTCATAAAGCGCGAGAGATCGCAGATCCAAATCGTGGTGATCGTAAGAGATCTCCATGATTGTGAGGCATCTTTATAATGACAAAGCGCGTTGGGATGATCGTAATACGTCGTAATAAGGAGTATCAGATGTTAATTCCCATTGTCCCGCAATTCTAACAATATCTATAGCGATTCCATAAAGATCTATTACGATTATATTAAGATCTCCCGTGCTGTGTCACGTTGTACACAATTTATCTCGGTCTAATACGATTCAATTAATTTCTATGAACTTGTTAACACATTGTAATACGATTAACGTCGACGATCTATCACGATCCATCACGATCTGTCTCGATCTATTACTCTTCCTTGTGCTGCGACACGTTTAGGTGCTTTCCTATAAATTGTGTCACGCTGCCAGACGAAATTCATTGTGATCCAGCTATTGTGTATCACACTATTTTACCGTCATTTCATTGAAGAATATAGGGTATGGGACCGAAAATGGCAAGGGTAAATGAAAGGGCTCCAAAGTAACTCATGCTGTCCGAAAATCGTGTTATAATCGTGTTTAATCGCCCTGCTTGATCTAAACAGAAGGCAACAAAAGGTAGCAGATCGTTATGAACGTCTCAAAATGTAAGAAATCGCAACAGATCGTATACTCAAATCGTGATGATCGTAAAACGTCTCTACAGGTCGTCACATATTCGCAACAGATCTATATGGAAGCGTAACTGATCGGATATCCGATCGTAAGATTGCGTACCAGATCCAATCAGAGCGTATGAAACCGTAAAAGAGCATCAAGAAAGGAGAAAATAATAAAACGTTCCACCATGATGAAGATCTACCACGATATTTGGTTCGCGTCGGATCGGCATAATCGTGGCCTAGTGCATAATTGTGGCTTTCAACGCAACATCACGGCGGGGACACCAGAAATGGGCTTCACACATTGTACCCGGCAGGAAGGTACCAGCACACATGGTCAAAAGATAAACATGAATAGTTGTTGATTACTAGCAGAACAATTGTTCCTCGCTGACGTGGCACGGTAGCACGAATTAGACTGGGAGCAGATTTGCATTCGTATTAGAGATTGTTGATGACATGTTGCTGAACCGTAAAGGTTTTTGTTGGAATTGGTCTTCAGCAACCAATGCTTGTTGTAAAGGACAGCTGAAGGGATCAGGTTCATTCCCTTGGAGTTGGTTCTGTTTGTTTGTTATTAATCGAGTCTGTAATAAATCGAGTCTGGGCCAGACAATCCAGTGATCAACATCAAGAGCATCTATCTACGAAATAAGGAAACGATGTCATGTGTCAACTAAGTCAGCGAGCCTGACCACCCGATCCCGTTAGTCGCTTCTTCCGACAAGCATGGGTTACTGAAGATCAATTCTAACCCGGATCTTCACCGATCTCGATTATTCACGTTTAACATCATGCGAAGTTGTATGTATGAAGCATAGCCTCGTCCTTCTCAAAGTTACATGTTTTTCCTTGAACAAAAACAATTAACTGCATCCCGGTAAGAAACCATCTTTGTACTGACATACTGTTTATATGAGTTGTTTGATTTGTTTTTCATAATCAAGAAATGTTATGAGTGAAACAAGCCGTTTAAATATTCAAAATCATCATAATGTAATATTTCAATACAAATACTCGTTTTCGCCACACTCGTTTCATATTTTGTATGATTCTATCCCCGACATTTCCATTCGTAACTACTCGCCTCTTTCCGTGACCGGAATGACACGAGTAGTTACGAATGCTACATTTCATCAGTGCCCTTTATAGCCTGGTTCCTAGTCTGTCTCACTTTCCCCGAACCACATTATTTTCCGTACTGCCAAGTCCTATATGCAATGCTAAAGCGCTACATTAAGCAAGCCTAGATTTCCTCAGGTTCAGAATCTCTGATCTCCCTGGGGCTTCTTTTCAATTTAAATGAGCTTGTTTGTTAATGAAATACACAATGCCATTTTAGAAAGTGGTCAAATGTAACATATGTTATATTTGGGATTACACTTTCTTAGTAAAGTACAGATTCTAGTACTTTTGGGGTTGAGTCCCATCCGGTTATTTTCGAACCCGCACCCTCAGAGTCAGGACCTCCAGAATCCCGGATGGGACTCAACCCCAAAAGTACTAGAATCTGTACTTTACTGAAAAAGTGTCATCACAAATATAACATATGTTGTTTGTTACTATCAAAATTATATATTTAGAGACTAAGCGTTAGTCTTCCTGGTTCCCTGAGTTTGCTGCGCTTGCGGGGAGCCAGGTTAATTAATCTCCAGTTTTCACAAACCTGCTGGTCACCCATGCTGCAAACACTGAGGTGTGATCGGACTGTTGCTATAGTAACCACACAGTTGACTAAATTCACCTCAGGGCTTTGATGAAACTGTGTACGTGAAAGCGAGGAGTTTTCATTTGACAGAGATCGTGAAATAATGAGAGCAGAGTTAGCGTCCTTTAACAACTTTACTGTAAAACTGTCATCGGTTTAAGCAACAATCTGTATTCAAAAGTTTAGGATTCTATTGAGAACACCGTTGTCTCCATAATTTCACGAGATCTGCAAAGATCAGGGTTAGACTTGGTGTTCAGCAACCCATGCTTGTCGTAGGAGGTGACTTACGCGATCGGAAGGTCAGACTCTCTGATGTGATTATACCCGTGAAGGTCGGGGTTAGAATATTGATCTTCAGTAACCCATGCTTGTCGTAAGAGGCGACTAACTGGATCGGGTGGTCAGGCTCGCTGACTTGGTTGACACATGGCATCGGTTCCCAATTGCGTAGATCGATGCTGATACCGTTGATAATTGGATTGTCTGGTCCAGACTCGATTATTTGCAGACCGCCGCCATACAGCTGGAATATTGCTGAGTGCGGCGTAAAACTAACTCACTCACTCACTGCGGAAAAGGGTATCAACGACTGTGGAATTTCGACAGTTCATGCTCTAAAATCCATGCAACTGCATGGACAGTTACTTCAACGTAAACATTCAACGCAATGGACAGTTTCAACACAACCCTATATAAAATGTACAGTTTGTTATTTCGACAATAACTGAAAAAATACTGACCTATTAAAGCCTAAACTGTGAATGAAGACCTAAAATAACTATTTCTATGAAAAAAAAGGCGTGTCTTCTGATGAGGTTGTCATATATCGTGTTGAAACTTGGTTATTCCTGGGGTAGATGTATATTTGTATATTTGTTCTTCTGATCGTACATGTTGGTGTATTTTTTACATTAAATCCCTGCCGAACAACCTGCAACATGGGTGTACAATCGAACTTGATCATACTAAATCGTAATAAATACGCCAAAATACGCCAGGTAGGCAGGTCTACAACAAAACATTCTTCTTCACAACAAATATCTCAAGGATAACGTTTGATGACATGACGGTTAAAACTACAAACTGTCAACTCCTGGACAGTAAAATCACAACGCAATGGACAGTTTGTTTGCTAAATGTGAGCAACTCCATATAAAACGTACAGTTTGATTTTTCGACGATAACTGAAAAAAATACTGACGCATTTAAGCTAAACTGTGAATGAAGACCTCAAAAAACTATATATAAGAATTGACAGCCAAAAAAGGCGTGTCTGCTGATGAGGTTGTCTTATTTCGTGTTGAAACGATCATTTTCCGCGATCTTGTTTCGACACTCAGGAGGGTGCCCTCGCTTAACGCACAATTGCAATAAATAGAGAGGGTGTCAAGCTATTATAGAAAGATCTGTAAATTTCTAGACCCCTCTGCCAAATGGCAAAACCTGATATACTTGCAAAATAATGAAAGTGCGAGTGAAAACTTACCATTACTCTTGCGCCACATGTTCGTCTTTCACTGTCCAGCGAGGAAATGGAGTTGCTTTGGGGGGCAACTTCACATTTCGTGTGGACAGCGCTTCCACCCTGTGGAACCGCACGCGTGTATACAGTATAGACTATGACAAGCGTCAAACCAGGTGTTTGAAATCTTTTATTCTTCGCCAATGCAGATCACGGGGCGGTGGGATAGCCTAGTGGGTAAAGCGTTCGCTCGTCACGCCGAAGACCCGGGTTCAAATCCCCACATTGGTACAATGTGTGAAGCCCATTCCATGTATCCCTAGCCGTTAGCCGCTGGAATATTGCTAAAATCGGCGTATTATCATATTCACTCACTAAAGCTATTCAGTCTGTCAAACAAATCAAGAATCAATTCACAATGAGAACACATTTGCAAATGCCAATGCGAACATGACGTTATTCAGTGCAACAAAAGCTATCGCTCATCAAAGCAAACCGACTGAATAACATTGTCAACATATCATGTGTTATTCAATTTATTTCACAACGGCCTCCCCGGCGCCATCGACAGTCACATCACATTATTGACAAATGAAGCGTCTCGGTTCTCGTACGCGAGAATATATCAACAATCTGGTGCAGTGATATTGTTTCGCCTAAGGTCTATCAATACTGACCAAACAAACACATCGGGTAACTGGAATATATATTACCATGACAACCACAAACGCTCTATGACAACCATTAATAGGTTTATGTCCAGATCTGACAACATCGATGACGTATGGGCCTATCGCATCAATGTCTTCCAGAGGTTGTTGATTTAATGTACCGGAGTGGCTGACCAGGTAGCGTTCACTAACACCCATCGGCACTCTGTGCGGACACTCAATGAAACCTCGGACATGATGAACAGTGTCCGAACGAAGCGGATTCAAGAACCTGTGTAAGGTAAAAAGGACAATAATATATCGACTCGAATCACGGGGATCGATTGTGGCCTGTATGCTGCCATCAGATTTACAGCAAGTTTAGGTCATTTAGCTGTTCGAGACAAGCTTGTTGCCCGGTAATCTCTATTGGAAAGAATCTGATCAATACTCCCATCATTACTCACGGCAGCCGTCTGCACCCCACGCTAGCAGACGACACACCTGTCACAATGCCGCCATCTTGGATCAGTGAAACAACATCAGGGAGATGTTTTTAAGCTTGGAGGATATGTAGTCGATCTTGGAACGGAGGTAAGGTAATATTTTGGGGGTTTCAGAGTTCAGATTCTGTTTAATTAGTATAAGTATTGGAACTTCTCAGTTTTAACAGGTCTGTCATTGAGCTGTACTTATATGCATGTCAACTACGCATTTACTATAGTTTTGTTTATTGATGTTTTCACTCTAAATTGATAACTGTAGACACAGTAATTATATTGGATATTTTTCACTTTCAGAAGAACTTTTTATATTCGTATATGAAATGTGTTACATTTTTAAAAAAACTTAAATAGCGGGAATTCATTATTATTTTTGATAAATTGCGTGGCCATTTAAATTTTATAGACAGTTTACTCAGTGAGACCTCGCCCTGATCGACCATCTATGGATGGAAGTTTTGGAGCCTAACCACAATGTTACGTTTTTGTCGATTCTAAGGAGCAATTGCACCCGGAATGTCAACAAGATATACTTCTGTATAACTGGATCAAGGGTTTGGATAAGAATGGGATGGCAAACTATCAACAAGTCATGAATCGTACAAAACAAATGACAGCTTGCTTGTCATTCGTGGGTGAAAATGGTGTGGTGCAACATCTTCACCCAACTTCTTGTTTATTCGAAGCAAAGTGTCTAACTTATTTTTTCACTAATCCCACACTTGGACGTCAAACGTTTCTCGACATCAGTCACATGGGTGCCGTGCTTAATCCGGATTAAGAGGGGAGCTGTTTGGAAAAAAGAAGAGATTACAACACAAACAGCGGATTCAGCACAAATCGTCCTGGGCTGGGACGTGTGAATAATTTTGGTCAGCAAGTCCTGCGAATACCCTCGCTATTTGCCACCTTCCAATGATTAGTTTGATTCTATGCTGGTCCCTTTGGAAGACAGAAATACAGACAGACGGGCTTTGACATAAGTGAAGAAGAAGAAGAAATATAGTTTTCTGGAGTGTCACATGCTGCAATTCATTACAAAAAGTCGTTACATTATTACAGGGATTTAATAGCAGTATCCGACCAAATGGCCTCTGAGACACAAGTAGAATCAGAGTTGTATAAAAACATTGGTAATAAAATAAGTCATGAAGGCCTTTGGTCAAACTCAGTACCATTTTTACAATCAGTTATCAGGTTGTGAGGATAGACATCGACATAATTCTTTAACCGTTTCTCAGCTGGAATGATTCGTCACAATACTTACCTAGCCTTTGTATATTATTATTTTTGTTTGAAATTAACTGCTCAAAAATATGTACTAAGTGGTGTTTTTAATAATGTTGCTTACTATAGCGTCATCTTAAATGGGATTGACACATATATGTCATCGTTTCCCAAATGCGTAGATAGATGCTCATGATGTTGATCATTGGATTGTCTGGTCCATACTCGATTATTGACAGACCGCCGCCATATAGCTGGAATATTGCTGAGTGCAGCGTAAACCTAAACTCACTCACTCTTAAATGGGAATATACTGGACATTTAATGACAAAATGGAATTAATTTTCTTAATTTCTTAATTTCTTTCATTACACTTTGTATATATTCTTGCTTCCTGTTACAACGAGGGGCGGTGGGGGTAGTCTAGTGGTTAAAGCGTCACGCCGAAAACCCGGGTTCGATGCCCCACATGGGTACAATGTGTGAAGCCCATTTCTGGTGTCCCTCGCCGTGATATTGCCGGAATATTGCTAAAAGCGGCGTAAAACTTCACTCTCTCCTGTTACGCCGCTCTGGTCAACGGCCATTGGTTTGACCTGCTGAACTATTTACATGCTTTCTTGTTACGCATGAGGTACTAGAGGTACATAGAAAAGTCATCAGGTGACACGGGTAAAACATGCTTGTTTTTTTTTCACGCAAGATCTTTTTAGACAAAAGAAGTGTCAGGTGTTTGGGGTAACAACCCACAATAGATGATGAATATATCCTGTCATCGAACTGTTTTCGCGCTTTCGGGAGTGTCATCAAACACCTGGAGTCATTTTCACTCATTCAATCATATAATTATCCTCAACACTTTACTCCCATGTAAACCTGCTCTGCCAGATAATCGAGGCTGATATTCTCTGACTTGTATACATGTGGGTTTTATGCAGATAAGTGTGGACTGCAAGATATATTTGCCAAGAATATTCGGATAATGGTAAAAAAAGTTATGGATCAGATAAGGGAGAAAGAATATACTCCGAAACATCGTGTTCCATTGTCCTTTAAACATCATTTTAACGGCATTCTAGAAGTTGATGAGTCAATAATAAAGCATTCCACTTTATGGATAACAATTTCTAGAATTACTCACCAACTTCTAACACGACGATAGGGCCTATGCAATAAACAAGAGTTGTTATCCCTGAAGTCGTATGCTCTATTATAGCCATTCAAAAGACTTTTTTGATAATTCAAGGTTTGTTTCAAAGTCGGAACAAGCACTACAACACTTTATAAATATCTTTCAAAACCATATACACATGTATCAGTACTATCAAATATAATTAAACACAATCAAATACGTTAATCCAATACAGATTTATATATTGTATGTATAAACAGTGTGCGAAGTAGCCACTGGCCCGCTAGCCTGTGGCTAGTAAAAGTCTGGTCGGGCCAGTAAATCTCCACAGTCACTGGCCCGACTGGCAAGGGAATTTTCATGGGGTCATTTTGTAAATAGATGACTCTCCAACATGTAAAGCTTTAATACACTTTTAAATCATGCAAGATTATGGCCTGATGAAAATGTTCATCATATTAGCAGCTTAATGACGAAACCCGTGTCATGCTGACAATATCTTATTCTCATCTATTTTGAAATCGTTTGCTTAGTTTCTACATTCAAATTTCGGAATTATTTTGTGGGCTAGTAACTTTCAGGCATAGCTAGCCCGACTGGCCAGCAAAATGGAAACTATTTTGCACACTGTGCATAAAGAAATACATAACAGTTTAGCCTTATTACATAACCAAGAACTTACAATACAAAGTCAGATCACATTATGATGATAATGACGTCGACGACGACGACGATGATGATGATGATGATGAAGTCGGCTTGCCTGAAATGTATTTGTATTTGCTCTTTAAGACTATTCACTGTATTCACTTCCCACATAAAACCTTTTATGAGTGATTTTGCATAAAAACAATATTAAATATGCAATGAAGATCGTCTCAGTGAATTCATTGAGACGATCCAACTTGTTGTCAGTGGATGTCCAATTCTGGCCCCAAACACTGTATCTTAACCCACATGGATTCATGGCTGGATCCTTTACTACTATGCTTGAGGTCCATCCATGGTACGACCTAGGTCATGTAGAATACGTCGACTAAAATGAGAATAATAAAATCTGACAGTCTTTGTCGAGTAGAAGGCTGTAGAGTTGGGCAGTGATCACATTCTCCGACAAGGTCTTGGTTGTTTCAACAGGGCAACGCGTCCAGGGAGAAATCCCATCCACTGTCTGGTCTACTGACCGGGGGTACTGAGCTGATGATGAGCCTGACCAGTCAAATGTGTCCAGGATCACCAGAAACCTTTTTCTTTCATCATGTATTTTAATCGCTACCATCTAATAGTAATACACACAATCTACCCGTGCCTCTGATCTACATTTCAGCCATATTTTCACACTAATCATTGTTTCCATGTATACCATATTGTGCCAGAAAGCCTGTGATTATGGTTGATGTATAATACCGGGAGCGCTGCATCACAAATAGAATCCATAACTGATAACAGTCCTAATGCAACTCGGAGGTATAATTATAGGCTGCATTGTTTGATTTCCATGGAAACACATCTGTCCGTGTTGTCCTGTCGGTACTAAGCGCGTTGTTGGCATAACTACCCGATCAACGTGTTGTGGTGTTTCCGAGTGTCGCTCTAACTCAGAGTGTTGTCAATCTGTGGTTATCAGTTCCTTTGAATATGAAAAGCCTGTGCAAAAATATTTCCCTGTCTGCATTGTCCTCAGGTTTCATGTAGCGTAAAGGGCAACATATAGCTGTAAAAGACATGTGAATGGTCCATTAGATCCCTATTTAGTTTGTACCAGGTCGTTTGAGCTTGATATGGTGTAAAGCCCAACGGGAAGCGGATGTTAAACCCTCCCTAATATTACCCCCAAAGGATACGGTCAATAATTTCACGTTTAACACAAAATATTCATTTTACCCTGGTTCACTAAGTATTCACGTAACCTCCTCCCCCTCCCCCCCCCCGACACACGCACATACACACCGCCCAGAACTCAGATTCACCAAATGATGAATCGCGCACGAGTGTTCTTCTGAGATAATACCTCTTGAAATCCCTTCCAACAACCGTTACACTAATGTTATGTATAAACCAATAGTAAATCAAACAGTGCAAAGCCGATCTATTCTAACATCTTAGGCAAACTCGACTTGTATTCACTGAGCCAGAGAGAATCTTTCATTATCAAACACAACCACACCTCCCCCTTCATCCGCGATCCTTCTCCACCATTAACAATCAGTCTCAACACACATATGACCAATGTCATTTCTTTCAAGCCTGTCCTTGACACGATCTACCTACATTCTCGTGTATCTTACATACCAATCGATTCCCAAACACATGTTCGTCGAGATTGAAGCTAGAAACGAAGGGTAATTACCGGTCTCTCAAAGACGCATGTAATATTGAAGTATTGATTATCACGTTTCCTCTTTTCTTCAGAGAAATCCGATGACAGATTCTCTGTAAGTGTAATCTGTATTGTGAATGTCCTTGTGGTTTGTCTTTATTTTTGTTATTGTTGTTTAAGGTTGTTTTTCAGAAATATTCCATCCTGTAAGTAACACAATACGGACCAGACAATCCAGTGATTGATGTCATGATCAACTACGTACGTAACAGGGATATGATGATATGTATCAACCACGCAACGAATGACGTCACTGAGTGTATAGATTTCTGAAATCGATTTAAGACGTTCCTCTTGATGGTGGATGTTCGGGACATTAGGATTAGTCGTACCTGCAGGAAACTGATAAACAAGACGGATGTCATTACAAGACACACTTAATGGCATATGAGATGGAGGATTATCTCTGTAAATAGAACAATAACGAGTGTATAAGGAGAAACAGTGTGTTCCGGTCGATAAGACCTACGTGCTGGAGTACATATTGTAGGTCTCATGACTCACTAACACTCGACTCACTAACCCTCATCCTGATGCCAGCAGAGATGACTAGACAGTTTTGTAATTGAATGTAATAGGTAAACGACGTTAGCTGACAAAATAATTTGCTCTAAAAGAAAGATCCCCGAGGCGAACAAAATGGGACAAACAACCATTGCTCCCTGGATTGTTTTAACGCCGATTTGATACATATTTTCAGTTATATCATTTCATGTTAGCTTTGGGAAGAAAGCCCGAAGATCTTTGACGTTTATCACTTTGAAACCCCCAATGTTGCAAACTGATTTGCTGAAAAATAATTGTTGTGAAAAAGATATATAACTGTTTGACTCTTCCTGTCCGAAGTGAATCTGTGCATGTACTGTATGGGCTAAAATCTTTCTAACAAAACTACAGGGCTAAACGCTCCAACGACTGTGGGTTCAGAAGCAAAAGCCAGCCTGAAAATGACGACTCAAGTTGTTCGCAAGGTCTTTCCAAAGCTATAAACATCTTAGACCTGCACCAGTTCTTGATCCTGGCCAACAGAAATCACCAACGCCATAGAATATCAATAAAAACTGATTCCATCAGAGATGTATGGAACAATTAGCCAGTCACACACTTTCAATATGCAAGTCAGTGCCATTTACTTAGGGCATGTGAAAGCTGTGTGCGAAGGTCAACACACCATGGTGGCTTATGCCCCTGCTTAATGGAAACCCACTTCCACATCACCACTAAACAGGAAACCGGTTAAGCATGTGGATAATGACGTCCAGTGAATGTTCAGCATATATTGTAGAAAGGCTAATGCTGCCACTTTCAAAGCATAAAATATTTTTTATCGATATTTCTCGTTGCTTAGAGTATTTTCTCGTTGATGCAAGTAACGTTTTTGTTGCTTCGAGTATTTTCTCGCTGCTTCAAGTTGCTGTTTTAAATAACCAAAGTATTTCGAGTGTTTGAAAAAAGCATGAAGAAACGAGAATGTAGTCGAAGCAACAGGAAATTAATTGAAGCAGCGAGAAAATACGGGAAATTCAAGAAAGTATTTGAAATGACGAGCGAACGAACGAGAAAATAATTGAAGGAATGAGACAATCTGAAATAACGAGGAAATACTCCCAAACACAGACAAAATAACTGAAGCAACGAGACATTTCTCTAAATATATTTTATGCTACAAAAGTAGAAGTACTAGGCTTTCGTGATATTGGCATGGCTTTGTACGACTGTTGTTTCAATAATTTGTCATTGATTAGTGGAATTTCTGACCATTCTCTAGCCTTGGCACACAAAGGTAGTGTAGACTTGAGCTGGATGTGCTGCTGGAGATGTGTGCTCCCCACATGAGCAAGTACAATCTCCAGTTTGGTCGGTTTGTGTAGAGGAGAGACGCGGACTGGGATGTAGGGATTTCTCCTTGGCGTTCTGTGATCCAGGGATACACCAATGTGTGGTGGTTAGTCTGAACTGCGTAATAAACGTGTGGTTCAGATGATTACATCTTCCCCGCATGGCCCCTCCATCGCGTCATTACTATTCTTTACAGATTACAATACACAAGTGCAGGAAAGAGGTTTAAGTAAGTCAGGCTGGTGAAGCTTAACTCGGCACAGTCTGGCTGGAAAAGCTCAATATATCCCATGGCCCATGGCCCCTCTGCATGAAGTCGAACTCCTGACAGAATGTGAAGACTCCCCAACATTGCAGCCTTCTGCATTACATTCAATGTCAGAAGGGCAGTGTTCCTGACAGCAAACCCCTTGGCCCCTCTAGATGCAGTCCAGGCGGCGACTTCTCTCAGTAAGTCGAACTCCTGTCAGAATGTGAAGACTCCCCAACACTGCAGCCTTCTGCATTACATGCAATGTCAGAAGGGCGGCGACTTCTCTGATGCAGTCTAGGCCGCAGTAAGTCGAACTCCTGTCAGAATGTGAAGACTCCCCAACACTGCAGCCTTCTGCATTACATTCAATGTCAGAAGGGCAGTGTTCCTGACAACAAACACATGTACACTCCCAATGTCAGCCTGCATGTTGGAAGGTACCAAACCCAAGGCACTAAAACAACGGGGAGTCTTGGTGCTTCGTATGCGAGCATAACATCTTTCGTAAGCGAGGTGCCATTATTTACCATGTGTTTTCTGAATCTGTCAATCACACTTTTTCTCATCAGAAAAAGAAATGATTAATAATGATTTTAAAAAGAATTAATTCCTTTTACCGAAAAGGACAGGTCAGATTTTGTTGGTTTGGATGCGCCGGGTCTATTCCAAAGGTATTTCAGGTTATCTGTTCTGTGTTTGTTTTATGTTTGTATTTGGGGAGGGTGCAACAAATCAATTTCATTTTAATAACCCATTATTTTCAGACAATGTGAATCTATCCAGTGATCAATAACTTCATTCAAATTCAAGGATTGTTTTAACGCCAGTTTGAGAAATATTTCTGTTATAACACTTTTTGTTAGATTGTGGGAAGAAAGCACGAAGTGACGAAGGTCTTTGACGTTTACCACTTTGAAACTCTGATGTTGCAAACTCTTAAAATGTTATTAGGGCGATATTGGGATTCGAACCAATAGTTCCAGGTACATGGCATGCCAAAGGAACGCAACCCTGCACAGAGAATGCAATGTAGATCAAACCTACTTCCTCTATGAACGTAGGTGACAATTCTGGGAAAGAGCTTGCCTCAGTTGAAAGTAGCCACTGAAATTCGAATTCAGGATTAACGTCGATTTATGTCATTGATCACAGTGTTCTTAGCTCTGAGTGAGTGTAGTTTTACGCCGCTGTTAGCACTATTCCAGCAAGGGATGCTGTCGTAGCACCATGGTCGCTTTGAGTAACGGGGCCCTTTACCGCACCTTGAGAGAATGCTTAACCACAGTAGTACATGTGTTTCAATGTGGACATGCTTTCCTCATTAATTCGACAGCCTAGCATCAACGTCACTAGGAGTATATATACACTTTGCTCTTCCTTTGCAGGATCTTTATAAACCTCTGACGTAATGTTGATTCTTGTATTTTCAGATTCATCAGACTTGTGAAGAATGATCGTCTCCAGACTAAATGGCTGACGTCACCGATAAGACCAATGACGTCACAAGAGGCATGAAAGACATTTCCAGTCGGGCAACTAATGTCGTTCAGGAGCTTGACCCTGCCATCAGTGCATTGGCTCTGGACCGTGATGCCGGTCAAGTTGGCGTCGAGACGTTCACGTTAATTGTTATCTGGATCTTGGCCGTAACGGGAAACGCATTCGTTTGCATCGTCATCAACAGAAGTCGTAGAATTCAATCAACAACTAATTATTTTGTCATTTCCCTTGCGTGTTCCGATTTGGCTTTGGCGTTGCTATGTATTCCATTCATTGCCTCGCGCGTTATCACGAGCCGATGGTTGCTAGGAGACGCGATATGCAAATTTGTTCGGTTTGTACAATTTCTTGTGCCTTGTGTTAACATGTACACCCTTGTCTCTATAGCCATAGATCGGTTTTACACCATCATATATCCCCTCAGTTTCAAGGTGACTAAATGCACTGCCAAACGAATGATAATATTAAGTTGGGTGTCTGCGGCAATCTTAAGTGGATTCTGCTTTTATTTCTTCGACGTCATTTCAGACGTGGACGGTGCCGGCCGTAACGTGTGCCCAACGTACGTTTCGACTGGATCCTGGTCCGGGATTGTGTATATTTTGTTCGTATTTTCATGCGAAGTCATCATCCCATCTATAATCTTATTGACATGCTACATCCGGGTGTTCAAACATATTTGGAGGATCCACCTTGGGTCAAGGTTACTACAAAGGACGATGAACCCAGTTCCAAGGACAAAGGTCAAGGTCGTGAAGATGCTAATAATCGTGACCTTGCTTTCCGTGTTGTTTTATGTGCCTTTTCACGTCTGTCAGCTGTGGTATTGTGTGGCTAAGCCGTCCCGCGCGGATCCAACGTTGTATATTGCTGTTGCATGGATGATGTTTGGGAATGGCGTGACGAAGCCGCTTGTCTATTTATGCTACAATTCCAATTTCCGGCGGGGATGCAAGGAGGTTTTGTGCATGTCTACAATGCGTTGTTACCGTAGCAACACTTACGCTATCACAAACGCCTCCACATTTGGGAAAAGAAACCACATTGGGATCATGGAAACGAGTGTCACCGATCAAGGACAGGATTCTCCATCCAAATCATTCAATCGATCACACATGTTGGAAAAAAGTGCCTGGCCTCTTCCATCCGCCGCGTCATCAACCTATATTTAGGTCAGCTCTTTGTGGTTTATGTTTATGCAAGTGTATTTTTTAACCAAGGTGCCTGAAGTATTTTGTCTAAAAAAATGTAATTATGTAACAAAATGAGATCAATTTTCATTTTCACACAAACGTCTTTAGACCCCATTTTAATTGCGATATTTGCAGAACAGATTCTTTTCTTTAGACGCATAAAATCTTTAATTTTGAAAGACTCAGTTGAACATAAATATATATGAATATCAGACGCTGCTGAAAAACACTTAATTTATGGAATGCATAGACATTCCTTTAGCTTGCATTTGCCTTTTTGTATTGTATGTGCTCTATATTTAACACATTTTGCTGTTTATGTTTCATAGGTTAATTTGATGTTTAAATAACAAAAACTAATGTATTTCCTTTCGCAATATTCTGGCAGTTTAGCCAGCAGTAATTACAAAACTATGCGGTAGTGGAGTCTGCCAAAAAACATTATGAAGACGTCATTAGTTACTCAATATTAGGCATCAGGGACTGAATAATATTGGATGACTCCTTTTCAATATGTGTACAGATTACATGACAGCCTTGATAAAGACGTAATTTGTCAACATTCGAAGCCTTTCACATGTTTATCAAAGCTATGTATGCATGGTTGACATATATACTTATGTTTTGACAAGAGTGCTCACAGTACCAGTATTCAGTTCAGATATTGACTAGCAAACGTAACCAGTGAGAGTAATGACCCAAATAGCATTCAGACGTTGGCTCAACGTTGGCAATGGTCTTGCCAGCATTGCCAACGTTGGGCCAACGTCCGAATGCTATCTGGGGAGTAGTTTAACCCTGAGCTACTATTTCCCATACGTTTTCTGTTATGTTTTAATCAGGTTAGTAAAACGTTTCAGATCATAGTAAACTACATGTACAAAAGCATATGCAGAATGTCTGGAGTTCGCCCTTGTTGTTTGCGCACCTGAAAAAAGGATGAGCACAAGCACCTTCTGTATTTTATACACTCCGAACATCCATGTTACGTTTTGGAACATGTACATATCATTTCAATAAATGACCAAGTTACTACTCCAGTGCCAAATCTGGTCCCGATTTCTCGAAACAAACTGACTTTTGACTTAAGTGAGAGTATTTACTCAAATTTGAGAAAACGCAGGAAAATGCATTTCCCAGAATGAACTGAAATCGATATTAAACTCAAACATAGTAGACAATTTGAGTTTGGTGGATAGATAACTTAAGTTGTTTGGACTTTTTTATTTTAAAAATGCAGTTGAATTAAAACTTCAGCTGTTTCAAACTGTCAAACTCAGTTTGAAATTTGAGGAAAAACGTAAGTCTGTTTCGAGAAATCGGGGCCTGTTGCGTAAAGGAAGGCTGCATGTTATTCTGGATAGTCAAAACTACTGGGCTGTCTCCAAAATGTGTAGCGTCAGCCCGGTCAGCGGAAGGTCTGTGGTTCGGTCTTAAGCCGTTTTCATACAAGAAAATACCCTGGCCGGCGATCGGCATTGAGGTCATGAAACAGGGACTGGTCGGCGTATAGACAGCTGTGTCTTAGACATACATGTCACATGTGACACATGTCATATACAAGCCATATATGGTAACTCACTGGGCTGGCGCTATAACACGGGGAGACCCGTGAACATCCGGGTTAGAATTGATCTCCAATAACCCATGCTTGTCGTAAGAGGCGACTAACGGGATCGGGTGGTCAGGCTCGCTGAAATATATGACTAAGCGGTTTTATATGGACATGTATAGTGCTTATATCCTTTTATATATTGTATGTATATATTTTTGACGTCAGAAAAGTGTCCAATCGGCATTTTAGGAATCACCTTTGAACATCTGATTGCTGAAATGATCTCCAGAATGAATCCGTCCAAAGGTTTGCCAGATTTGGTTTTGTGTACATGTGGATCATATAAGATTTGAATAATCTATGGAAGTCTTTCAATCAGTATTCAGCATTAATGGCGCATGATGTGTGTGTGTGCTTTTACATCTAAACGATTACTGTCATCTATTGATTTACATATCGCCATATGGTGTTATCTCACAATATCGATTCATTATCACGTTATCAGTAAACGTAAGTTTTATGTGACAAACATTAGTTATTCTTTTAAAAAACTTTCATACTTAAGATCAGTTTCACTAAATTTAACCGAGGTATCCATCAAAATAATATTTTTGTTGCGCACAGCAATATTTCAGTTTGAGGACGGCAACCTGATTATAAAATCAGGACCAGACAAACTAGTGATTGATATTGTGAGCAACGACGAAGGACGGAGGACACCTACAACGTCCCCTCGTATGACCAGTGTAGGTTGCTTGGGTGAGTGAGTAAGTATGTTTTTTAAGCCGCTTTCAGCAATATTCCAGCAACATCACAGCGGGGGACACAAGAAATGGGCTTTAAACATTGTACCCATGTGGGAAATCGAACCTGGATCTTCGGCGTGATGAGCAAACGCTTTAACCTCTTGGCTACCCACCGCCGTTGGCTGCTTAGAATCAATCGTGAAGCGGAGTTCCAAACAAAGATCACCGAAGCCAAAAGTCAAGGACATTATTAAGAATATAACGTTTGTCACTTATATGGTTACGTCCACTGATTGTTAAATGCGGATAGCACACATGTGCAAGTTGTTGCACCAGTTAACTCAAACTCGCTTTGTTTGCATGTCTGCGGTGTAAACTATGTCGACTTGATGACACAAATTTGCCAAATCATTGTATATTTTGTTTAAATGCTAAATTGTACATATTAGAAGCCAGTGGTAATCTAGCCAAAATCGAATGAATAAGTATCGTAATAACGTTATAGGAAGTCAATCTTTTTCCAGCCATACGTACCTCTTACACAGTTAATTCATGTGTTTTTCCTTGGTTCAATTCTGCACCTTCAAATAAACATACGCCATGAAATGTTTAGCGTTCATTGACAAAATATCGTATAAACAAGAAAAGCTATTTCCATTCCGGCATTTATCCACTTCCAGTTGTAGACGAAGCTGTACGCAGAACTAGAGATGCGGTGACTTTGATGATTAAAGATATATTTTCAAGTACCTCACTGTCGCAATTGTAGTTGTCTTTCTACCAAACAATATGAAATGCGCATCGAACGACATGCATTAGATCAATTTTCATTTCTTCTGAATAAGTGCGTTTTTCAATAAACACGCAGAAACATCATTTGCGGAATACGGCGAGCACAGCCGAGTAAGCTCGGGAGCTTTCGGCTTCAATGCTTCAGAACGGTCCAAGGGCTCTCCCAGTGACTCGACGCCATCAAACTCAGTTTTAATGGAAGCGTCTGTAAAATCATCTCTCGCTTCTCAGTATGTGTGTTGCTTGTCAAACGCCGAGCTCAAATACCTGCAAGTATATAATTTTGTTTGCTTCTTGTTTAGCAATATGAATGCGATGTGTAGATAATGGGGTCTTGACCAGACGAACCAGAGATTGATATCATGAGCGTCGATCTACACAATGGTAAGCGAGCCCGACTAGTCGATCCCGTTAATCGCCTATTTAGATGAACATGGATTGCGTAGACTGATTACTATAAGTATGCTGTCAATCACTCGATTGTTTACAGCCCGCAGACCGCACATCGCCGAGCAGGAATATTGCTGAGTGCGCTCTTAAATAGATAAAACAAAAAACACACCAATGCCATGACCTGGTCGGATATCAAACACCGACCTTCCACTCTCCACTACACCAGGAGGACTGTAACGGTGAAGTATGGCCCAACGATGCGCCATTAAAATCTTACCGAAGTCCCTCCGTAAACCGTGTACGTATGTCTGGTTGGGTTGGTTGGTTGGTAGGTTGTTGAACGCCATCCTCAGCAATACATGGAGTCAGTCTGTAAATAATCGAGTCTGGACCAAACAATCCAGTGATCAACAGTATGAGCATCGATACTGGGATACGCAACTGGGATACGATGACATGTGTCAACCAAGCCAGCGAGCCTGACCACCCGATCCCGTTAGTCGCCTCTTACGACAATCATGGGTTACTGAAGACCAATTCAAACCCGGACCTTCAACGTATTGGGAGTACGCATAGTACATTTGAGCAGTTGTGGCTGAAGGAAGATGTATAACGTTTCATTTATATTTGCTTTAAAGATTACTGAAAGTGATCAACATTGCCCAACAAACCAAAAACAAATCACGTTTTAACATGTTAGACATTCCACCATTTTGCCGAGGCACAGTAGTTCAATGACTTTACAAGTCCCGTTTCTACACATGCCGAGCTGTGCCTTGTCAAAATTGTATATCTCTATATCGAAACCAACATCCGGCGACAAGTTTGCAGATTTCGTACTGTCATTTTGCTTGGAGCAAATACAAGTGGTATGAGAGGTGGAATCTGTTTGGTCATTAGAAGGGCATCATTGTGTTGGAAGCAAATGCTAACGGGGACACCTCACTGTGCCAGCACTATTATCCATGGTACTAATTGGGCAATTAGGGTAACAATATACAGTGAAGCCTCGTTAATCCGGACGGTTGCGTTTCTCAGTAAATTCGTCCGGATTGCGAATAGTCCGGACTACTGAATCAAGACCCAAGTTGCTTCCCTCGGGCAGGGGATTAAATCTGCAAATACCCATCTAATAAATATATTTATAAATAAATGTTTGTCTTGTTTTATTGTTTATTTAATCAATATTGCATAACACCGTCTCGTAACATTACGTCAAGGCACAACCTGCTAGAGATATGAGAGGGGGGAATCTGATTGGCCAATAGAAAGGAAGAGCCCGTAATGACTACTAGTGGTGGCGCTCCGTTCAAGCCACGAAATGCCAGGCCAGGTAGGCAAGGGCGGAAACTGAAATTTACAGTCAGTTAACTATCTTGCTTGGGCAAGATGACATTCCTCGTGTAATGGCAGAACATATTTGCATTCAACAGGGGACACGGAGTTGTGCATCAATATGACTGGAGCTGTCATTCCACTGATCTGCGCACTTCATCGCACGTTTGCTGAGATAAGATTGCCAAATCTGACTTTCTTATCAAATAATCGGAACTTATTCCAAATTTTTCGGGGAATTGTGTACCAGTAGATTATCGAAAGGTTGTAGGAACCATTACTACCTGGTAAAGTTTCAGGAAGCTTGTAACAACTCGGGCCAAACCAATAAGATGCAGTCTGGATTCTCTATGGTTAATTCATTTCCGGACGTTAACTGTTCACAAATTTATCAAAGTTCTTCACTCAAAGAATTTCTTCACATATCTACTTCATAAAACTGGTAAATTATTTAGGTATGTGATTATTCAACGGATTTCTGCGGAACGGTTCTTGATCGATTGATTAAACCTCCTGGATTAAGAAGGTTTCACTGCATACCATTGTACTTTCAGAGACAATGAACTTCCGTTCAGTTATCTGCTATGGTACTTTCAAACATCGTACTATTTCATACCTTAAATCTGTGAAACACACTCACTCACTCATGTTGCCAGCGGTATTTTTGAATTCATGACCAGCGTGAAACCTGTCTCGCCACTCCACAAGTGTGTGAAAACACCGTGTAAGATTGTTTGAATTTTGTTTGAAAGGAAATGATCGTAGCGTGTCTCACGTCATGACGAGTGTTTGCTTGTTTGCTTGTTTGTGTCCGCCTGCAACCAACAAGGAACCGACTCTAACCACGCGTGTCACCACGTGACCTCTAACGACCAGAGGTTACTTGACCAATACTATTACCCGGGGTTCAAGGTCAGTGACACAGTGGTTGGACACACAGACAGACACAGGGTTTTTTTCATTCAGTTGGGTAGTTCCATGTCTCACAGTCAGTCATTAAAAACAGTTCCCTGAAACCTGAACAAGGGCATTATTTCCTGTATCTCTCTCATAAGCTGCACCTGCTTGTAAACAAACACATTAACTAGTAAAAGCCCGGTGTCAATAATATTGAAAGTTCACAGTATGAACAGACATTTGTGAATACTTTCTCAATTATATTTAAGATGAGGGGTAAAGGGATCTAACATTGCTTTCATGTACGTAGGCATATTTTCCTCTGGGTGTCAGCTTGTACTAAATCAGGACATGGTACCTCTCTCGGAGAGGATGGGTTCGAATCCTAGATGGGACTCAACCAGAATAGAAGTGTTACCATCTGTACTTTACTAAGAACGTGTAATCCCAAATATAACGTGTTACATTTGAGTGAGTAAGTGAGTGAGTGAGTTTAATTTTACGCCGCTTTTATCAGTGCACATACGTTCAGTTCCACTGAATCGGACTCGTACCGGAGTGCTGTTATGAGTATCAGGCACGGTAACAGCAAGTACACAAGTCTTCCTGCTTGAGCCCAAAAGGGGTAAACACATCTTTTTATGCTGCGGTCAGAGGACCAAACCATTGATGTTTTACATCGTGTTGCAGGTGGGCGGTGACTTACTTTGTACATTAACCCTAAAGGAGGGGAGAGAAGGTTGTATTCACATTGTACATGCTTGGAGGAGGAAGGTCATATCCCCAGCCATTGTACATGCTTCTCTATAAAATATCATCATCACTGTAAAGTCTTTAACAAGTGATGCCAAAACACCACATATATTCTTTACAGGGTTGTGTGCTGGGTATCATGAAAATCATGATTTTGTCGAATTGAACGTGTATGTTATACCACGCCCCTACACATCCGTGCAATATGCTACTACTCCACCAGGGGCGGTGGGGTAGCCTAGTGGTTAAAGCGTTGGCTCGTCACGCCCAGGACCCGGGTTCGATTCCCCACATGGGCACAATGTGTTAAGCCCATTTCTGGTGTCCCCGCCGTGATATTGCTGGAATATTGCTAAAAAGCGGCGTAAAACTCAACTCAGCCAGTCAGTCAGTACACTCCACCAGGACATGAAGCCAGGTTTGTGACAGTGTCACTCTGACATGTTACACCACGCCCCTACACACCCCTGCAATATCTACACTCCACCAGGACATGAAGCCAGGATTGTGACAGTGTCACTCTGACATGTTATACCACGCCCCTACACATCCGTGCAATATCTACACTCCACCAGGACTTGAAGCCAGGTTTGTGACAGTGTCACTCTGACATGTTACACCACGCCCCTACACATCCCTGCAATATCTACACACCACCAGGACACGAAGCCAGGTTTGTGACAGTGTCACTCTGACATGTTACACCACGCCCCTACACATCCCCTGCAATATCTACACTCCACCAGGACATGAAGCCAGGTTTGTGACAGTGTTACTCTGACATGTTAGACCATGCCCCTACACATCCGTGCAATATCTACACTCCACAAGGACATGAAGCCAGGATTGTGACAGTGTCACTCTGACATGTTACACCACGCCCCTACACATCCGTGCATATCTACACACCACCAGGACATGAAGCCAGGTTTGTGACAGTGTCACTCTGACATGTTACACCACGCCCCTACACATCCGTGCAATATCTACTCCACCAGGACATGAAGCCAGGGTTTGTAACGGTGTCACTCTGACATGTTACACCACGCCCCTGCACATCCGTGCAATATCTACACACCACCAGGACATGAAGCCAGGTTTGGGACAGTGTCACTCTGACCTGTTACACCACGCCCCTGCACATCCGTGCACATCTACACTCCACCAGGACATGAAGCCAGGTTTGTGACAGTGTCACTCTGACATGTTACACCACGCCCCTGCACATCTGTGCAATATCTACACTCCACCAGGACATGAAGCCAGGTTTGTGACAGGTGTCACTCTGACATGTTACACCACGCCCCTGCACATCTGTGCAATATCTACACTCCACCAGGACATGAAGCCAGGTTTGTGACAGTGTCACTCTGACATGTTATACCACACCCCTGCACATCCGTGCAATATCTACACTCCACCAGGACATGAAGCCAGGTTTGTGACAGTGTCACTCTGACATGTTATACCACACCCCTGCACATCCGTGCAATATCTACACACCACCAGGACATGAAGCCAGGATTGTGACAGTGTCAGTCTGACAAGTTACACCACGCCCCTGCACATCCGTGCAATATCTACACTCCACCAGGAAATGAAGCCAGGATTGTGACAATGTCACTCTGACATGTTACACCACACCCTGCACACCCCTACAATATCTACACTCCACCAGGAAATGAAGCCAGGATTGTGACAGTGTCACTCTGACATGTTACACCACACCCCTGCACATCCGTGCAATATCTACACTCCACCAGGAAATGAAGCCAGGATTGTGACAGTGTCACTCTGACATGTTACACCACGCCCCTGCACACATCCGTGCAATATCTACACTCCACCAGGAAATGAAGCCAGGATTGTGACAGTGTCACTCTGACATGTTACACCACGCCCCTGCACATCCGTGCAATATCTACACTCCACCAGGAAATGAAGCCAGGATTGTGACAGTGTCACTCTGACATGTTATACCACGCCCCTACACATCCGTGCAATATCTACACTCCACCAGGACATGAAGCCAGGTTTGTGACAGTGTCACTCTGACATGTTATACCACGCCCCTACACATCCGTGCAATATCTACACTGCACCAGGACATGAAGCCAGGTTTGTGACAGTGTCACTCTGACATGTTATACCACGCCCCTACGCATACCTGCAATATCTACACTCCACCAGGACATGAAGCCAGGTTTGTGACAGTGTCACTCTGGACATGTTACACCACGCCCCTACACATCCGTGCAATATCTACACACCACCAGGACATGAAGCCAGGATTGTGACAGTGTCAGTCTGACAAGTTACACCACGCCCCTGCACATCCGTGCAATATCTACACTCCACCAGGAAATGAAGCCAGGATTGTGACAATGTCACTCTGACATGTTACACCACACCCTGCACACCCCCTACAACATCTACACTCCACCAGGAAATGAAGCCAGGATTGTGACAGTGTCACTCTGACATGTTACACCACACCCCTGCACATCCGTGCAATATCTACACTCCACCAGGAAATGAAGCCAGGATTGTGACAGTGTCACCTGACATGTTACACCACGCCCCTGCACATCCGTGCAATATCTACACTCCACCAGGAAATGAAGCCAGGATTGTGACAGTGTCACTCTGACATGTTACACCACGCCCCTGCACATCCGTGCAATATCTACACTCCACCAGGAAATGAAGCCAGGATTGTGACAGTGTCACTCTGACATGTTATACCACGCCCCTACACATCCGTGCAATATCTACACTCCACCAGGACATGAAGCCAGGTTTGTGACAGTGTCACTCTGACATGTTATACCGCGCCCCTTACACATCCGTGCAATATCTACACTACACTGACATGAAGCCAGGTTTGTGACAGTGTCACTCTGACATGTTATACCACGCCCCTACATCCCTGCAATATCTACACTCCACCAGGACATGAAGCCAGGTTTGTAACAGTGTCACTCTGACATGTTACACCACGCCCCTACACATCCGTGCAATATCTACACTCCACCAGGACATGAAGCCAGGATTGTGACAGTGTCACTCTGACGTATGTTATACCACGCCCCTACACATCCGTGCAATATCTACACTCCACGAGAAAATGAAGCCAGGTTTGTGACAGTGTCACTCTGACATGTTACACCACGCCCCTGCACATCCGTGCAATATCTACACTCCACCAGGAAATGAAGCCAGGTTTGTGACAGTGTCACTCTGACATGTTACACCACGCCCCTGCACATCCGTGCAATATCTACACTCCACCAGGAAATGAAACCAGGTTTGTGACAGTGTCACTCTGACATGTTAGTTGACAGTTGTGAAACCGGATGACATGTATAGTCCGTGCATTAACATGTATTTCAGTTCTAACGATTGTGTGACTACAAATCGCATTAGACTATCAGTGAAACTTGATCAGAGCTTCAAGCTAACTCTGCATTTAAAGTATAACCTGACCAGAATTAGAAACCACCCCAATAATTACCACAATCACTTATCTGGAGTGATATTTATACAAAATATTCCTATGGCACGAAACATTATTAATATGCTCTATATAAAGAGAATATTGTTAAATCTGTACAGCGCCACCTTCATTATTAATAATATGGCAGCCGATGTTCAAGATATTTTTGGATTAAACTTTTTTAATTTTTCACATCTGAACATCAAGACAAGTGACATGTGCCTCGACCGGAAGTAAATTGTCATGAATACAAAACGTCCATCCGGTGATGCTTCTTCACTTCCTTTCATCACTTTGTGCAGTGGAATGTCAACGAGAACGCCAGACCTAGAACCTTTGAGACAGAGAACAAAATAGTATGCGTTTTATGCCTGTTCATGCTGAGTCCCCATTTCCCAAGCCAGTCATATGCATCGATGTAATATCGTAACTTTCTTGGTGAATATTCAAATATAAATTAGAAACAAATACTATAATTCTAATTATTTCATATATTAAGATTCTTTGTAAATGGGATTTAGACGTAATAATGTATCCTATATCAATTTGCAATACGTTTGGTAAAGCTGGACACAGGGTGTTTCTTAAATCCTTGTAAAAGAGTCAGATTTGATGAGATGACGGAATGTCACAGTAAAAGTCATGTTAGGGATATCGACATATCATGTATTGTGTGTACTTACCATGACTTGAGCACACCCGATGGAAAGGCCAGCCACAATATTAGTGAAGCCAGAGCAGCCCTGTTCATGATGTAAAATAACACACATAATGCATGAATGTATGATTATTTCGACACAATGTACAGTTAGGATAGCACACGTGAGAGAGAGAGAGAAATAGATCAAAACGTAAGTACTGTGTCATAGTCTTCCAGAACAATATATAACGCGAGACGTTAGACCCCCATATTGCTGAGGTTTTTTATCCAAACCATGACCGTTTCACCCTGGCCTACATACTTTTTTGGCATAACTGGAAAACTGCCTTCACCCCAACAAACTCACTCTCGTGACCTGAATCCCAGGGGATTAACATGAAAGGCATGCAGTCAGTAGCCACCAGAACCACCGTCAGTAGGAGGCGTGCTGTGGTCTTCACTGATCGCCAGGGCGGACATGCTCAATATTATAATGTTGATTTATGATTTGTAGTGAGTCCATTCTTACACTTAGTTTGACAATATCAATGTTTTGACCTGTATCTTTGTTTCTTGTAACATTTCTGCTTTTATGGGACAAGGCCTTGTGCACACGGTGCCAAAACACTGCTCTCATTCTGTAATGTACGTGTATTTCCTACCTAACATCCTGTCAACTGTCTCTCAAAGTACTGATGTAGTTTCTTTTCGACGTCAGTACAATACAAACTGCAGGTTCTCTTCATACAGAAGACACTTATAATATAAGATTTAAACTGTCAATAACGACTTTTACAGGCGCAAAATATGTTCCTGAAGATGCTTTCAAACGTTTTAAAAAGCAAATTTGATCCTGAAATACCTGGGAAAATTCAGCATCCTCAGATGTTACAAAAAGTGATCGGTACATTCTCACACAGAGACTGTCCTCATGTTTTGAAGCAATGACCCCGAAATGTTCTGTCTCCCAATAACCAAGGCCCAAAGATTATTTCATGGTCGGCCTGTACTGTGGACACCAAACAATAACGAGTGGCGATTATCTCATTGAGGACCGCCTCCGTGGTGTAGTGGATAGAGCGTCCGCCCGGAGAGTGGAAGGTCGCGGGTTCGATCCCCGATCGCGTCATACCAAAAGACCTTAAAATATGGTACTTGTTGGTCCCCGCCTGGCGCTCGGCATTAATGGGTACAACAAGGACTGGTCGGCTCGGAGTCAGTATAATGTGTCTGAGTGGGGTATTCATGCTTCACTGCGGCATGGTATCTCAGTGGGCTAGCACTATAAAACCAGCTTCAGTCTGGGCTAGTACAAGCAGCCGCACATACACATACACAAGCATGCACGTCGTCATATGAGCGAAATATTCTCAAGCACGACGTTAAACCCAATTCCAACACCAACACCACATTTATTAACGTAATGTCAGTTGAATGAGTTTGGCATATTATCTTTTCATATGTACCACTTCTCTATGTTATGCTCCCAATTTCACCTTACCTCACCTCATTGGGCTTGAAAGGCAAAACAGGGATGACAATTTATACAACGACAATCATGACACCAGGTGGTCGCGAACCATGGCTTCCGAACATTAGTCTGATTTTCAGGAAAAGTCAGTTTAGCATATGTCATGTTTTACTGCAGCACATGCCACCGTGTTATAAATTTGTAATACGCTTGTATGTTGTTGGGGGGTTTTAAATACTGATGAAAATTTGTCAACTAACCTTCACAGTGTCTTCGGTTTCGGTAGAATTGCACAGCTACAAACATAGAACATTAGAAAACGTTAAAACGATATCCTGCTTGAAAATGACAAACTGCATCATTCTGGAATAATATTGCTTTTCGTTCTCACTTCTCGTTTGTCTCCATTTCCGTGTGTTTGACGAATTCTACCGCATGCTGTTTCTGGTTTGTCAGCACAATACCGGTACCCATGTTTCAATACCGGTACCCATGTTTCAATACCGGTACCCATGTTTCAATACCGGTACCCATGTTTCAATACCGGTACCCATGTTTCATGTAATTGGTAAGAGTCTGAGACCTGCATCACGCGGACCTTCTGTCTCATGGCCGCAAAATGACCTTTTTTAAGGTAAACGTTTGAATATCGTAAATGAATATTAATCCCTTGAATCGGCACAAGTCTGTAATTAAGCCGGTGATCAGAGCAAAGAAACCGCTTTTACAACTTTACTCTGTCATTCCTATTCTGGGGGTTATTCCACCGTGAAGATCCGGGTTAGAATTGATCTTCACAAGCCATGCTTGTTGTAAGAGGCGACTAACGTGATCGGGTTGTCAGGCTCGCTGACTTGGTTGACATGTGTCATCCTATCCCTATTTCGCAGATCGATGCTCATGATGTTGATCCCTGTATTGTCTGGTCCAGACTCGAATATGTACAGACCACTGTCATATAGCTGGAATATTGCTGAGTGCGGCGTTAAACAACAAACAAACAAACAAACAAAAATGAGCTTGACCATCCACTCCATAAATTCAGCTTTCAAGACGGAATCCGTCTGCATTTGGACAAAGTTTCTCCCATAAAAATATTATCTTTATCTGACGGTATCTCGTTCCTTAGACTGTGTAGTACGTTGTATCAATATTTCCGTATATCTGAGCCAAACCCGAAACCCCTTATTTGTACACCGAACACATTGATATGATTTTAGTTACGATCTAAAACTGTAATTAACTTACACTTTCCCTGTTGATGGTCATCACAACCCCAGCTCCAAGCAATCCGGAGAAGATGAGGAACAAGCTTACAGAGAACTGAAACATAAACACGTTACCCAAAGAATACATCCGTTGAGAGCAATATATATTCAATTTCATTACTGTAATTCATTTTGTCATATGTTTCTGAGCAGGATAAGGACAGCATATGAAAAACAGCATTGGCTAATATGCAAATAAGAACAAGTCATGTTGGTATCTCTATTTATCATCAAATGGGGGTTGTTATCGGTGCAATAATGCAATCTGATAAACTTGTTATCTATGCAAATTACGTCAATCCACGAACTACTTTCACAAAACTCCATACACGCCATGCGAATCCTAAAACGTTTAACATTTCATTGATGACGTCGTCACGAGTTTACATTGTTAGTAAACAAACATGGCTGCCCCCATTATCAAAATTGGTGATTCTGTAAGAATTTATGACAGAGGTTCTGGAGTCGTTACTGCAGTAATTGACTTTGGAAAACATGAAACGTAGTACTTCGTTCAAATTGAAGGTACGGATTATGAGGCACGACTGAAAGGCAATCGTCTAAGAAAGTACCAACCAAGGATTTCGATCTATCGATCACAATGCAGACGACGAATCGATTCCGTCAGGTATCAAAAACTGATATTGATGAGGTGATTACCCGCCATGAAAACAGAAACATTGCCAGGAAAACCCTGCCCGGTTCTGTTGTTCCTTTTAGACAGAAAGATCTCATTTTGAGCATGAGTTTTGTTTGCACTGTATTAGCAACTAGTCACAACCTTGTGCCGCCGTCATGAACGACCTTCACCTTGGTGTACCACTAAGTATTCTTACGCGAATTTTCGATTCTCTTCATATAAATTCACGTACGATTTGCTTCTTTTTTTAGAGTAATTTTAAGAATGACATTATATGATAAAGAGCTTATTAACCGAGTGTGTCTCCGTATCATTAATATCATATATTAGGAATTAAAATTTATGTATTATGCTCGCCATAGGCTCGCATAATACAATTTTATTACTAATATATGATATTAATGATACGGAAACTCACTCGGTTTATAATCTCTATTTACGAACCTGGCACAGTGTAGTTATTTAACTGACTGACTGACTGAGTGAGTTTGGTTTAACGCCGCTTTTAGCAATATTCCAGCAACATCACGGCGGGGGACACCAGAAATGGGCTTCACACATTGTACCCATGTGGGGATTCGAACCCGGGTCTTCTTTGCGTCGAGCCAACGCTTTAACCACTAGGCTACCCCACCGCCCAGTTATTTAACAAACATACAGTGAAACATTATGCTACATAACGCCTATAATGCTAGTTGTCATTCGCAATTTATTCAATACTTATGTGTGAAAACTAAGATTTTCGAGTTTGAGAAACGTAATATTTTCACTGCAATGACAAAATTCGATATGTTCACTGCAGAGTTCTCCGGAGCGCCATGTTTGTTTGTGGTTTTCATATATTCGGCCATCAGAACCCAGTGTTGACGTTTACGCTGATACCAACATGATGGGTTGATGGATATTTTGTTAAGTGTTGAGTTAATTGATACAATGATAATTTAAAAAATCGCAACAAACAAGTTGACAGTTTTTAGTTTATATTTGGGAGAATTTGGATTTCGTTAAATGAATTTTCTCGGACAAATGTTTAAATGTAATTAAAGAAACAACGAAAGTACATAATGAATGGATTATTGCATGCGCTGCGCCACTCGTGAAAATATATATCATGTTTGTTCACGTCACTCGACGTCATCTTGTTTCACTAGACACCTGATATATCTTCTGTGTAATAATTTGAGAAATCCAACATCAACAATCAAGTTTCAGTTTAACGATATTCTCTCTTTTCATTACCACACTGACAAACGGCATGGACGCGATCATCCCGTATACGTCACACACACACATAACGTTTGCCCATCGACGTTTCGTCAACCGCTCTACAATAACGATATATTGCATTCTAATTCAACTTAGTATGTAACACGAGTTCTGATTGGTCAATGCTATACATTTCCGACCGTATAATCAGCATATACGGTCGCAATTTGAAAACCGATTCACCAAAATCTTTGAATGTATCCCTAAACTATTGGGGGGACGCTGCTTTGCAGGACATTGTCATTTGCAGAAGCGCGTCGCCGATATAACTAAATTTGCGGCTATATAACCACCGGTATACGTCCCCAATTCGTCAAACAGTACAGTTATCCCCTTAGTAACGTGACGGTACGTATTCAAGATATAAGCCTTTTTAATTCTTATTTTATTTTAATATTATTGGATATTTATATAGCGCACATATCCACGCACTAGTGCATGCTCAAGGCGCTGGTATTTCCCTGGATCATTGAATGTCAATCTCAACGGCACGTCATATTATTAATCTCAACTCCCTGAGGAGCAAAAAACTCTTGCTGCCACAAGACGCACCGAATTATTGCGGCTTTCCCATCCTTACGAAGTACCCATACACAGCTGGGTGGACGGGGACACATAGCCACAGTACTTTGTCCAATTTCACTGCACTTTGCTGTACCCGCGGCTGGGTGTTTGCATGTATTCATGTAGGCACCATCGGTCATATACCCAACGGATTCGTGGGTTCTTTTAAGTGCACAGTATTGTGTACTGTACACGAGGGGTTGTGACAACATTGAAAGAGTCTGCACACAAAGTTGACTCCAAGGTTTTGACACCCGGTCACAGGTGGGCTCGATCCCGGCACCTCATGCCCGCTGGATCACTAGCTTGGTGCCTTAGCCAGCTCGCCAACCACGCCCCGCATTCTTCCAGTAAAATGGATAAAAAGGGCAATTTTGTACTCACCACGAGGAGACGACACGAACTTTCCTTGATGGTTCCATGACAACCAGTAATTCCTGTGATGATTATAACACAACCCACAGCAATGAGCGTGGCAGATATTATCGTCGGTACTTTGCCATCGTTAACATCAAAGTCTGCGACCAGGATCCATATCCCCAAACCCACCATTGCCAGTCCAATAAGCTAAACACAAGGAAATATAGATGCAGTTGAAACACAGACCTATATCTGGATAGATGTGGTTCGTGAACACCTGATGTTATCACTGATTTTCATTGATAGATTTTAACCTCTAGTTTTCACTTTTACGTCCAACAGAATCTGTTTCGGCAGATAATCTATTATGATGACCTGGGAAAGGGTTCAGTCGCTTTTGTTATATTCTAGGACTTTGTTATCTCTGAAGAACTCGATATTGTCGAGCAATATTCCAACGACAAAAATAGCCTAAACCAGACAATCCCGTGATTAATATCATAAACTTGGTCGGTGTACATTGACACATTGACATACAACAAAGGTCTATGAACCTTTTAATTAATTAGATAAAAATCTCCAAACACCAAGAATCAGTAGCTGGTGGTCAAGTTTCTATTCCGAAATGCCCCAGGGAATCTACATAAATAACATGGGCACCACGAATACATTATAGTTAGAGAGTATGGTTTCACGCCGCATTTAGCAGTATCTCGGCTTCGAACACCGTACCCATGTTTTGAGTCGACTCCAGAGTGAAGAGCGAAAGCTTTAACTACTAGGCTATCCTACTGTCTTGATAGTGATACACCAGATTACAAGCAGACAAATCGTTGATGTCTAACACAACAGGAAACATGTGTAATGTATCTTGACATTTATTAGACCGCCTCCGTGGTGTAGTTGTTAGAGCGTCCGCCCGGAGTGCGGAAGGTCGCAGGTTCGATCCCCGACCGCGTCATACGTTAAAATATGCTACTTGTTGGTCCCTGCCTGGCGCTCGGCATTAATGGGTACAACAAGGACTGGTCGGCTCGGAGTCAGTATAATGTGTCTGAGTGGGGTAGTCATGCTTCACTGGGGCATGGTATCTCAGTGGGCTAGTACTATAAAACCAGATTCAGTCTGGGCTAGTACAAGCAGCCGCACATACACATACACTCGCATGCACGTCGTCATATGAGCGAAATATTCTCAAGCACGACGTTAAACCCAATTCCACCACCACCACATTTATTAGCGTAATGTCAACTGAATGAGTTTGGTTTGGTATATTATCTTTTCATATGTACCACTACTCTATGTTGTGCTGCCATAGTGGTGCCTTTGTAGTAATTTGTATAGATTAATAGTTAATAATAATACTATGGTTTATTTCAGCACGTTTCTTTGTGAAGCCCGTTGCTGGTGTTCCTGCCCTGCTCATGCTGGAGTCATGCTGCTTAAAGCGTCGTAAAACCATACTCACTCACTATTTTATTTACGTTATTTACTTTTAAGTGGTGCGTTGTTGTTAATGTATATCAAGCAAGCAAATCTAGCACACGGAAGCCGTTGGGTGAGGAAATATTTCACTGGATACTTGAAGAATATTCATAGTTTCTGCTGTAAATATTTCCGTGTGTAGTGTAATTCAATTTCGATTTCCAAGTCCATGTCTCTGGTCGTTTATGACGTCATAATGGGAGAGGTTATCCTCTTGCTGTAGAAAAATGCTTGTTACCCTGTTTTTTACTTGGCATTACGACGAGGAGACAGGTACAGTCGACTCGAAGTATACCTAGTCTCAGTGGGATTTCAATGTTACATTATGGTATCTCCGTAGGCCTATAAAGGCTTAGTTGTATGAACACACTCACACACGCTCACATTCATTCACTCACTCACTCACACACACATACACACACGCGTACGTGGTGTATTTGCTTAACAATCTTAGACAAGATTTTACACCACATATCACAACCACACTAACTACTGTATGCTGGATGTTCGGCAATTTTTTTTAACCCTATTAAATATATGTTCTTTGTATAACGAGACTGTATAATAAAATATCTGACTCACCCACAACAAGATGTTGAACGCAAGCAGCAAATATTTTGCCCGAGTGTGACATGATCCAGATCTCATGATTCTCTGCCTTTACAAAGGTCTACAAACATCCACTTCTTGTGCTGTCAGAACGTCAAGCGGTGACACACTACACGAGAGATCAATATAGCCAACGGGAAAGTTTTACTGGAAATACTTCCTTTTGATCTAACTATGTCCAATTAATCAAACACCAATATGAAGCTTTTCCTCTGGATTCGTGAGTGAGTGAGTGAGTGAGTAAGTTTAGTTTTAACGCCGCTTTTAGCAATGTTCCAGCAATATCACGGCTGGGGACACCAGAAACGGGTTTCACACATTGTATCCATGAGGGGAATCGAACCCGGGTCTTCGGGATGACGCTTTAATCACTAGGCTACGCCACACACACACACCCCACACACCCCAACACACACACCCCCAACCCCCACCCCCAACCCCACCCCCACCCCACCCACCCCACACACACACACCTCCTGAGGAGAACAAGTGCCAGGTGACATCAAATGATTCTTTTTCAATCTGCAAAATATTTATTATCACCAGATACTCGGTATTTTACCAATATTCAGACGGTGTATTTTGTCGGGAAGAGCTACGCTTTGTATTCAGGTCGTGTGTTGGTTTCACTATTGTAGATTTATCGATGCAGTCCCGCTTCCTCAGTTTGACCGTGGCATGTGATTATGACATAAACTAGTTCACTTGTTATTCATTATTTATTTATCACTTACTTCCCTTCCACCGATACAAGGGCAAAGGACATCAGTTGGTTTGTTGTAAAACGCCGCACTCAGCAATATTCCAGCTATATGGCGGCGATCTGTAAATAATTGAGTCTGCACCAGACAATCCAGTGATCAACAACATGAGCGTCGATCTATGTAATTGGGATACGATGACATGTGTGAATCAAGTCAACGAGTCTGACGATCCGATCCCTTTAGACTTGGGTTGCAGAAGACCAATTCTAACCCGGATGTTGACGGGTCCAAAGGACTCCACAGATCTGGGAATTGAACCAGGGCCTTCTGCGGGGCGATCAGTCGCTTTACACATTACAGTCATATCTGCGGTATAAAACTAGCTGAACGAAACAATATCTGTGAATAACGTTAGAGTGAAACAATATCTGTGAATTACGTTACAATGAAACAATATCTGTGAATTACATTAGAATGAAACAATATCTGTGAATTACGTTAAAATGAAACAATATCTGTGATTTACGTTAGAATGAAACAATATCTGTGAATGATGTAAGAACGAAACAATATCTGTGAATTACGTTAGAATGAACAATATCTGTGAATTACGTTACAATGAAACAATATCTGTGAATTATGTTACAATGAAACAATATCTGTGAATTATGTTAGAATGAAACAATATCTGTGATTTACGTTAGAATGAAACAATATTTGTGAATTACGTTAGAATGAAACAATATCTGTGATTTACGTTAGAATGAAACAATATTTGTGAATTACGTTAGAATGAAAAAATATCTGTGAATTACGTTACAATGAAACAATATCTGTGATTTACGTTACAATGAAACAATATCTGTGAGTTATGTTAGAACGAAGCAATATCTGTGAATTATGTAAGAATGAAACAATATCTGTGAATTATGTTAGAACGAAGCAATATCTGTGAATTACGTTAGAATGAAACAATATCTGTGAATTACGTTAGAATGAAACAATTCCTTTCATGATCACGTCTTTCTTGCTTGTTTGTACTATTTGTTTACATCTTAATCTTAATTTAATTGAAGATGAAATACATGTTTTACTTTATTGTAAAGCCTACTTAGATATAAGGAATAAGTTTCTGGGTAAATATTTGAAACATCCTATTTCACAACACAGTTTTATAAACATAATGACTTCAAAAAACATAAATGTTATAAATAATTTGTGCCTATTTTTATATAATGTTGGGAAAATAAGAGATTCTGATGTTTTTATGTAAAACCAGGGATAATCTACAACATTATATAGTCTCCCTGGTAAAACGCATGTAACCTTTTTACTATATTTATGAATGTTTTTTGGGCCAGTGGCCAATTACTGAATAAAATGTCTGTCTGTTTGTCTGTCTGTCTGTCTGTCTGTCTGTCTGTCTGTCTGTCTGTGTACATCTGGCTATGTCTTATACACTTTAAAATGTATGCATTGTGTAACTGTAATATGATGTTATTGCTCTTTTAAATATGTGTGAGTGAATATCGTTTGACGCCACCTTAGCGCCTATGTGCGATGATGTTTTATGAGATGAATAGAGAGTGAATGACGATACAATAACGGGAATGATAGGTACGGGACGAAGTGTTCTTTGTTTCAGTATTGCCAGTCCCAAAAAATGAGGGACCGAGTTTGATTCCCCACATGGGTACGATTTGTGAAGATCCAGGGTCCGTAAGTACTGTTGGTATACAGCTGCAAGCTGGTAAAACCGTACTCACAATCTTCACTTTCGTTGCTTACTACAAGACTTTCACATGTCGCTTTCTACATGCAGAAGGATAGCCATATGAAGTTATCCACATGTATTGGGACGTTGATATACACATGATCAAATTCACATTTTCCATATCAAAGATATGTTACCTTTTTAGTCTTTAACTTAGTTTAACTACTTACAGGTTTATTTTGTTAATGGTCTCAAAATACATACACAGAATATATACGTGGTGATGTAAACCAATGGCATCAAGCCGCTACGTCAGAACGTTCCACATCGTCAACATTTCAAACATCTGACTTTAGTTATCTTTAAAACTGGTGTTAAGACAGAGGCATAGTTGTTGGATACTGAGCAATTAATACACACAAATGTGAGACCGCCTCCGTGGTGTAGTGGTTAGAGCGTCCGCCTGGAGAGCGGAAGGTCGCGGGTTCGATTCCAGACCGTGTCATACCAAAAGACATTAAAATATGGTACTTGTTGGTCCCTGTCTGGCGCTCGGCATTAATGGGTACAACAAGGACTGGTCGGCTCGGAGTCAGTATAATGTGTCTGAGTGGGGTATTCATGCTTAACTGCGGCATGGTATCTCAGTGAGCTAGCACTATAAACTCAGATTCAGTCTGGGCTAGTGCAAGCAGCCGCACATACACATACACACGCAGCATACACACGTCGTCATATGAGCGAAATATTCTCAAGCACGACATTTAACCCAATTTCACCTCACCTCACAAACAAATTAGGACATCGCATTCACAATATGTTTACAAAAAAAACACCTACACGTATCTGAGATAAATTAGTTCATTACAGTTGGACAGTGCATATCAATGGACGCACTGTATCTATTCCGTAAAGATAACTCACTATCTGTTCTTGTCGAATTAAAGCTACATCAATGAGCGTTCCGTTATTTTCACTAAGTGTTCCCGGGCATAACCTTCCCAGATACATCACTTAAGAAAATCTCGATTCAAGCTCCCGAACCAATCTTCATTACTTTCTCGGGATGACGTGGACTGATGCTCTTACCTGGGCCTGCCCGAGAAGCTGAGACTCCAGATATCTCATTGGTTGATGGTATCGCTAGAGATATCCACTGATTGTCACAGCGAGATAATGTAGCATCTTGTGGACAGTACACTGAAATGTCCAGTTTTTAGATTACAATGAAACAATATCTGTGAATTTCGTTAGAATGAAATAATATCTGTGAATCATGTTACAATGAAACAATATCTGTGAATTACGTTAGAACGAAACAATATCTGTGAATTACGTTACAATGAAACAATAACTGTGAATTACGTTACAATGAAACAATATCAGTGAATTACGTTACAATGAAACAATATCTGTGAATTACGTTAGAATGAAACAATATCTGTGAATTACGTTACAATGAAACAATATCTGTGAATTATGTTAGAATGAAACAATATCTGTGAATAACGTTACAATGAAACAATATCTGTGAATTATGTTAGAATTAAACAATATCTGTGAATTACGTTAGAACGAAACAATATCTGTGAATTACGTTACAATGAAACAATATCTGTGAATTACGTTAAAATGAAACAATATCTGTGAATTACGTTAGAATGAAACAATATCTGTGAATTACGTTACAATGAAACAATATCTGTGAATTTCGTTAGAATGAAACAATATCTGTGAATCATGTTAGAATGAAACAATATCTGTGAATTACGTTACAATGAAACAATATCTGTGAATTACGTTACAATGAAACAATAACTGTGAATTACGTTAGAATGAAACAATATCAGTTAATTACGTTACAATGAAACAATATCTGTGAATTACGTTACAATGAAACAATATCTGTGAATTATGTTATAATGAAACAATATCTGTGAATTACGTTACAATGAAACAATATCTGTGAATTACGTTAGAATGAAACAATATCTGTGAATTACGTTAGAATGAAACAATATCTGTGAATTACGTTACAATGAAACAATATCTGTGAATTACGTTAGAATGAAACAATATCTGTGAATTACGTTACAATGAAACAATATCTGTGAATTACGTTAGAATGAAACAATATCTGTGAATTACGTTACAATGAAACAATATCTGTGAATTACGTTACAATGAAACAATATCTGTGAATTACGTTAGAACGAAACAATATCTGTGAATTACGTTAGAATGAAACAATATCTGTGAATTACGTTACAATGAAACAATATCTGTGAATTACGTTAGAATGAAACAATATCTGTGAATTACGTTACAATGAAACAATATCTGTGAATTACGTTAGAAATGAAACAATATATCTGTGAATTACGTTACAATGAAACAATATCTGTGAATTAACAATATCTTGTTATCAATGAAACAATATCTGTGAATTACGTTACAATTATGAAACAATATCTGTGAATTGTTACAATGAAACAATATCTGTGTTACGTTAGAATGAAACAATATCTGTGAATTATGTTAGAATGAAACAATATAGAACGAAACAATATCTGTGAATTGTGAATTAACGTTACGTTACAATGAAACAATATCTGTGAATTACGTTACAATGAAACAATATCTGTGAATTACGTTAGAATGAAACAATATCTGTGAATTACGTTACAATGAAACAATATCTGTGAATTATGTTAGAATTTAACAATATCTGTGAATTACGTTAGAACGAAACAATATCTGTGAATT